TCTCTTTTTGCTTCACTGTGTGTCAGGAAGAGGGACTGTTGATCTCCATTTGGTTTTTAAAGGAAGACTAGAGAAATCAGAACAGGACCAGCCTTGTTTCTGTGAAGCAGGTGCTGTTGCTGAGCCTGTGAATTGAAGGGTGGGGGGGGGGGGGGAGGAAAGACTAAGGAAAAACATTCTTAACTTTGGATCAAATGGTGTGAAATATATTCTTAATGTCCTAATGAGGATGCACAGCTGAATTACGTCCAGCTAACTAACACACTACACTAAATTTGGGCAAGAGTACGGGAGAGTAATAGTTGAAGAAAAATCCAATCAACAGAAGAACTAGGGGCTGGAGCTGGCAAAGGAATTTGGGGAGTTCACACCAAGTTGTATGGTGGAGAAAACATGGAGAGAAGAGATGCACAGAAAGGAAGAGAAATGTTTTGATTTAGCTTTCTTGAATGGAGAGCAGAATCAAAGATTATTTTGTAAAAACTAGAAAAAAAAATAAAAGAAAGCAGAGGTTTAATGAATACCCAAGTAGTATACATCAGGATTAGCTAAAAAGCATTAAGGAGACAGATGTTCTGAATGAATGGGGAAAAATTAGAACTACTTCTCACATACACACCCTTAGCCCCACCCATCCATCACTTTCACCTCCTCCGTATCTTATTATACAGGTTTGACCTTCCTTCTTCATTCTGTAGGTGTGGAGTTCTAAGCCATGTTAAAAAAAATTAATGAGGTATCCTATACATTAAAAATTCCACAAGTGTACAGTTTGTTGAATTTTTGCCTATCTATGCATCCATGTAACCACTACCCACATCATTTCCAGCACCCCGGAAGCTCATCTGCACTTCTCAGTCAAAATCCCCCACTCTTCAGAGACAGCCGCTATTTTGACTTCTATCATCAAAGATTAATGTTACCTGTTCTTGAAGTTCATAAATAGAATCTGAGCACGTACACACTTCTGTGTCTGCTTTCTTTTGCTTATCATTAGGTCTGTGAGATTCATCCATGTCGCTGCATGTTTTTATTGCAGTGCAGTATTCCAGTGCATGACTATAAACCATTTTTCTATTTTCCTATTGATGCATTTTTGGATTTTTTTTTTGGGGGGGTCTATTCAAAGTAAACCTGCTATGAATGTTCTTGTATATTTCTCTGAGTGAACACATGCAATCATTTATCCTTAGTATACACCAAGGAGTGTAAATCATTTAATTTCCTTCTGGCTACCACAAGGAGGACAATCTCATGAAGGAGATTCTGAAGCCTACTTTCTATCTGAAATAATTGCATAAAGGGATAAAGGCAAAGGCTATCACTACTGAACACCAACTCAATGCCTGAAATGTGTCTGATCTTTTCCATATATAGTCTCATTTTCTTCTCACAACTACTCTATAAAGTATGTATAATTGTTTCTATTTTGCAAATTAAGAATCTCAAATACAAGACATGGTGGTAGGAAGTGGCCCTTGGCCTTGTAAGGTGGAGCATGCGTGTGTGTATAAGTGCTCCATGAGGGGGTGATGAGACAAGGATGTGATAGAAGGACCCACCCTGTAGACGAGGCTAGAGATTGGTCTGTGGAGATGAGACGACCTGGAGAACACAGAGCAGTGCTTCCCAGGTGAACAGAGTGGCATGGGAGGACTGGAAATGGGAAATGGGCTTTAATTTGATTGCAGTGTGTATGTGTGTTGTCAGGGGAGAAGGGACAGATTGGAGATAACACAGCCTGCTATCTGACAGCATCTTAGTGAATATAAGTACTTGCACCTACCTGTGGCCTGTGGGGTGGGCAGAGATCATGGACTCCATTCACTGATGGGGATACTGAAGATAAGAATGGTCCAATCTCCAGGCGCCTGGGTAGCTCAGTCGGTTAAGAGTCTGACTCTTGACTTCGGCCCAGGTCATGATCTCAGGGTCTTGAGATCAAGCCCTGCGTGGCGCTCTGAGCTGGGTGTGGAGTCTGCTTAAGATTCTCTCTCTCTCTCCCCCTCTCCTCCCCCCCTTCCCAAACATGTGTGCTCTCTCTCTCTCTCAAAAAAAAAAAAAAAAGGTCCAATCTCAATTTCAAATAAGCAAATTAAGGAGTTGAGACTTGCATCCAAACCTGTTATCATGTTGCCTATACACAAAGGTAATGATTGAGATGCATACAAATTTCTCCCAGTTCCATTTAAATGTAAAACATCACACATGGTACAGATGCTCTAGGTTCTGTGAACTTCAACCTTTCCCCCATCTCTAGGTATTTAATTCCCTAAGAGGAGGCCCTGTGACATTGTATCTGTGTTTACAGGAATCCTGTGCCCTGGCAGTATAGGACCTCTTTTTATCTGTATGGTTCTTTTGTCTGATCTTCTTATAGAGAAAGAGGTCTATAAAGGCTTGAGACAACAACTTCCAACTATTTCCAAATCAATATACATTTTTCAATGACCATTTAATCTATGAACTTTTCCTTTTAAATGTGAATAAGAAAGCATGTAAAAATGACTATAGATAGGCAAAGAATACTAGATATTGACTTATTAGAAAATCAACCTCAAATGGTTTACTTGGGTTTTCTAGAATGACTCAACAACTTCAGAAAATTAAAGATTTCAAAGTAATTGCAGATTATATGCTACTCAAAAACAGGAGAAACATACGGTTGGTACCCAAATGTTTACCGAATGAATGACTGTGATCCATAAATTCTGATGATAATCCATGGGTGCACCTAAATGTACCATAACTGTGCAGTGGAAAGAGCATTAGGCAAAGAAGTTTTGTTTAGGTCTTAGCTCCACCCCTTCTTAGCATATTGATCTTGGGTAAATCACCTCACTCTTTCACTGGCCTTAATTTCATCATCTGTAAAATGAGAGATTGGACTCAGATGATCTGGTAGTCACGTGACATTTCTTGCATTCTATGATTAAGTGTGTTTTCCTGTCATCTTCTCTAATCTTTCAAAGATAAACTTTGCATAACTAAGTTTAATACTGCTTTTTATGCTAGGGAGAGTAGGAAAAGAAGTTTCCTGTGGTCTTTCTCTCCTTCAGTACCTCCTAGGGGAGTAATGAAAATAAGAATGAGTTTTAGGAAGGTCATCAGCTTATAAAACTTTTTTGCAGTGGTTTACAATGCTCCATGGTAATCTGCCTCTGGGTTAGTTCTCAGGTACACCAGATTCAAAAGACAACTTGCAATAAAGCATTTTTTGTTCTCTTCTTCATATTAAACAGGTCTTTCATTCCTTAAATATGGCTCATTTTCTCTATTTCCATCCATCAACTAGAGTAACCTTGTGAAATATATGGAAGAGTGTTTTTTTTTTTCTTTTAAAGGACATATATTCACATATGCTAATAAATTAACACCAGGTACCACAAGAATGAAATTGTTTCTAAAAGGGGGGGGTCCTCTGGACACCTGGGTGGCTCAGTTGGTGAAGCGTCTGCCTTTGGTTCAGGTCATGACGCCAGACCTGAGGATCCTGGATCCTGGGATGGAGTCCTTGCTCATCAGGGAGTCTGCTTCTCTCTCTTTTTGCTCTGCCTGCCATTCCCCCTGCTTGTGCTCTCTCTCTCTGACAAATAAATAAAATCTTTAAAAAATAATAAATAAAATAAAATAAAATGGGGGGTCCTCTTTGGAAAGTGTAGTGCATTAAGTTCTTAGAGAGTAGGAACTACCTGTATGAGACTTACAGCACCTACCATTTAAATCAGCATTGAAAAACCACGTTGGAAGGGCAAACTTTTAAATAAGTTATTGGTTATCACGGGAGAGAAAGTTCCGTAAAACATCAGATTCCAGCACACACAAACCACTTTTCTACCATGGTTTATTGCATATTGTCATCCTTTTGTTAAGGCAACACTGCCCAGCACTAGTGGAAACAAAACTTACATGGGTTATTGTTGCTATCTACTCTGATCTACTTCTCATGGGGCTGGAACGGACTTGGCTCATACCCAAGGATACTCTTATTCCTTTCCAATTTGTTAGGGGTGCTTAGATACTTCAGGGTTTTCCCCCCACATTTTCTTCCAGCTCTGTTACATTTACTGGATTCTCTAAAATTAAAGGCTCAACATTTCTTCCAGCTAGTTTTACTTTTTCTGTTAATTATAGCTTTCCCCACGTCATCTTTATATTGGTTACCTTTGATAACATTTGTAACAGAAATGAAACAAAGAGCAGAAACAAGTTGCCAATAAAACTTCTGATCTCTTGCTTCACTGTACACCGTGCACTGGCTTTGTTTTGCTGTTCACATATACCTCTTGAGCCACCTATATCTACAAGCCAAATACTTCCTCTAAATATTTCTGCAAAGTTAGTGCTGAGTAAAAATATATACATCCATTTTTCTCAGCACTCGTTTCTCCAACACACGTATGCAAAACTAGTGGGTAAAAAAGACAAGAATGGGACCACCTAAGCTACAAAAGAATGAGGGGCTCATTTGCATCTAGAGAGACCCCCCCCACCTGCTCTCAGGAAGCGCCTTTTAAGGTGTGTGCGCCTGTGTGCCCTTCCCAAGCCATCTGGATGATGATATGAGAGGGAATATTTTGCATTGCAAAGACCGATTTTTAAAAAATGCTGTGCAGGTAGTTCCTAGCCAAGAGCGTGCTCGTGCCGGGGGAGGCGAAGGAGGAGAAAGGCGGCAGCACCGGCAGCCTGCTGGGGGCTGACCTGATTCCCTAGAATCCTCAGCTCCCTTCCTCTCTCCTCCGACGTCCTTCCTTCCCTTCTCTCCTCCTTCCCCCCTTCCTTTCCCCAGCGAAGCAGCTGCGAGGAACAAAGAACGCGGGCGCTCCGGGAAGCTGCGCGCAAGCCCCGCGCACTGCGCGCGGCGTCTGGCTCCTCGGAGCGGGGCTCTCCCGGCTCCACGTCCCTCCGCAGCCTCCCCCGCCTCCCGCGCTCGCTCGCTCCCGCCCGCTCGCCGCCTCCCCCACCTTCGCGGCGCCGGAGGAAGGCGGCCGGGGCTCAAGATGGCTTTAGCCGGGCTCTGCGTCCTGCTCGCCTGCTGCTGGGGGCCGGCGGCGGTGCTGGCCACGGCCGCCGGCGACGTGGACCCATCCAAGGAGCTTGAGTGCAAGCTCAAGAGCATCACGGTGTCGGCGCTGCCCTTCCTGCGCGAGAACGACCTGAGCATCATGCACAGCCCCTCGGCCTCCGAGCCCAAGCTCCTCTTCTCGGTGCGCAACGACTTCCCGGGAGAAATGGTCGTGGTGGACGACCTGGAAAACACGGAGCTGCCCTACTTCGTGCTGGGTGAGTCCCGGGGGAGGTCGAGGCGGCCCGGCGCCCCCACGCCCCCACCCCGGCTCGCTCCACACACCCACTCGCCGCCGACCTCCCTTCCCCCACTCCTGTCGCCCAGGATCCGCCCCACGCCCAGCCCGCCCTCCACACCCACCTGCCGGCCGGCCCTTCGGTGCCCCCGACTTCTTCCCACATCCGACATGGATGCGGGGCCCTCGACCTCCCAGCCGCCCTGCCGCACAGGAGCAGGTTGCAGGAGCCCCTCTGAAAGCTTTCCCGGCCTTGACCTCTCCGCTTTCCTTCAGGAGCACACTGACAGAACGCTTGTCTGCGACCAGCTCAACTCTCATAAGCCCTTCTCCCCACTCCCTGGCCACATGCCCCGTTCTTTGCTTCACACCCCCTGGACACCCACTCCCACAGCATTTCCTGGGGCAGTTGGAAACAGGTATCCCGCCCTCCCGGGGCAGGCATGTGCTGGCCACATTGCACTGGCTGGATCTCTAGCCCTCACTCTCGGAGAGGGCTCTGTATCTCTCAGCAGGTGACTGGCACTTAGTCACAACACTCAAGTTTTCTCTCCTCTTGGTGTCCATCCTACCTTCACACTTACATGCAACAATGTCCTCAACCAGCCACCTCCACATGCTCAGGTCACATCAAGATGACTTGGATAAAGAAAGCATCCAACTGTAGTCTGTTCCTGTTGGTATCTTCTTTGTTCCCAGTGCTACCTTAGGTAGGCAAAGGCATTCCTGCACACAGAATGGTCTCCCTGGCTAAGAGGCTCCTGTTCTGTTCCTTTTGTTTGTTTACATTTCTCTCTCAGTACCCCTCTACTCATTTTCTTAGGCCACAAAACTCCTTCAGATCCTGGAACCTTCTAATCCAACTCTCTTTTCTCACTGCCAGGCTGCAAAGATACTGTGGTCCTCCTGCTCCAGCCTCTTGCAAAGCAGGACAGGTTCATGTGACTTCGTTAACCAAAATTTCCCTCACTTTTCCCTGTGCAGATGTCTCTCTCTCCCTGCTGTGCGTGCCCACTGTGCAATCCATTTCTTTAGTGATGCTGTACATCATCCTTATTTTGCCCATGAGAGAATTCAAAGATAATCCAATTCATAGTTACTCTCTAGATCCAAAAACTGACAAATAATGGAACTGTCCAGGAGGCGAGTGTTTCATCTACTTAATGTCCTACCAACTGGAGTTCACTTTGTAGGAACATGGCTTCCTGATGGCCATACATAGGGTTGAGCCACATGTGGAATGTCCTATAACACCTCCCTGGTGCTCTTTATTCACAAGAGATCTCTTCACATTGCAAACATTAAGAAGTGGGTGAGTAAACCCCTACTCTCCGATCCCTATGGAAAAGCGATTTCAAAATTTGCCTGGTCCTTTGAAAAGTTGGTTTGCAATTCCTGGAGTGCGGCTTAGTTGACTCTGTTAAGTCCAGCCTACACACTTGATGGCATTACTTATTTTTGCATTAAAAACATACCAATGACATAATAAAACTGGGGGCTGGCTGGGAATGGGGACACTGTGGATATGTGGCTCATTAAAATGTACAATTGCTGGGTTATTCAGTGGATGCAAATTTTGCATGGAAGTCATGCTGATGTGCAAGTACAGTCTGTTCGTCATAATATACAAGAAGGAGTATAGGGAATTACATGCTTCTAAAGAGCCTGTTTGGGGCTCTACACGTTGTGTTTACTGTGCACAAGGAGGGCTGTGTGTGGTGCATGAGAAAAAGGGAAATGAGACTAGCAGGTCTTCAAAATCCCACTTCCCTTTTTGCAGCATCCCAAAGCTGGGGCCTGAAGCCATGATGTGCCTGCTAGGATCCAATGTGCACAGCAAAAGACCAGATGTTAAAGAATGGGGTTTCTGCACCTCTGTGCAAAGCTGCCCACTGCAGCACCCTGCTGGAGTTGCTATGGTAACCTCCTGCAACTTGGCATTTACATACAGGAACAGACACACTCTCACTTCAGGGCCAGATGCATTTCCTAAATGCATTGATTGTGTCCTTGGCACCCCCCCTCTCCCCCAGTCAATGGGGGCGTGTTCAGACCCAGTATTCCCAGGGGGAATAGGAGTCACTATCAGCTTGGGTGGGGAAGCGGAACTAGGCAGAAAGGGACAGTCCAAGTTCATGGAGGGTAGACTCAAGTGTATAGTTGCTCTCCAAGTTAAGTTTTGTGATCGTGGATTCTGTCACTTGTGGCCAGTAGTAAGGGCTGTAGTGACTTTGGTTTAGAGCTTTCCCTACCCTTATCTCTGGAACTTAGTTTGCTGAAGCCATCCCTGGGAGGAATATGAATCCACCAGTCGTGGGAAGTCATTGATCATTTACTTGCTCAGCAAGTAAATTTTAAAACTTAATTTAAAAATTAAAGGCCCCTGCCCTCGGGTTCTCTCTAGTCAGTGGAAACACAGACTGAAATACTTGGAGGAGTTGTAAGTAATAATGCTTGAGTGTGTGGTATGGATGGTAAGGGGTGTAGGAATGCTGAGGAAGGAAGAAACAAATTGCATAGCAAGAGTAGACTCCATAGATGACATGGGCTTGACTAGGGCCCTTAACCCAAATCAGGTCCTATGGTTTCCTTTTGTCTTCAGGATCAAGTTCCCTAACTTCAGTGAGGCAAACAGGGGTCTTACCCTTCTGACTACAGCCAACTTTTCTAGCCTCATATCCCTGCAAGCCTGCCATAGCCTTTCAGGATTCTTTCAAGACATTGCACATGCTGTTCCCTCCACCTAGAATGCTCTTTTCCCCTTCTCCACTTGGCAGCCATCTATTCTTCCTCCTAAACTCTGCACACCTATCACGCATCTATGAAGCCTTCCCTCTCCTCCCAAGGCAGAGAAGTTTATCCCACTCCTGTGCTCTTTGTGTGGATTTAAAAAAATCAAAACACAAATGAACGGAATTAAAGATGGATTCGCTTTGGTGTGGCCTAGGTAAGGTGAAGCCATTTGAAGTTACGGAACAAAGATAAGCAGTCGGTGGTGGTGAGAGTGAATATGTGATGGTGTGCCGTGCATATGGTGCAGTACAGAGATTGGCCTCGTGGTAGAAGAGTGGTCAGTACGGTGCCTGGCTCTGCAGAGTGGAGCATGGTTCTCTACTTAGAAGCCAGGCAGTGGAGGGGTGACTTGACAGAGAAAGCCATGAAGCCTGACTCCCAGACCTCAGCCATCAGTCCTGGCAGGTTTGCTTGTAGGATAATCCTGCGGGGTGGTGGAGGGAGTGGTGGTATCTTCTGCCCTCTTAAGTGAGTTTGCAAATTGTGTGCAAGGGCCAGCCATATGAGACTTTCAGTTGTGCTTTGTTTGGCTACATGCAATTTTGAAATGTTTTGAATTTGAATGTTTTCAGTCAAGGCCTGCCATCTCGAGATTGTCATACTTCCCTTTTCTTTATGGTATTTCTCTGACAACTCTAAACTGGATAATCTAAACCTGCTTTCAGAAGTGTTGCAAAACACTACAATATCCCAAAATAATGGCAATGTCTAATTTAAGATATTTAAATTCGTAGATCTGGGGACCAAAAAGAAGAGGCTATAAAAGCAATCAAAGGTGTTTTTTTTTGGGAGGGGAGGCTCTTAGGGATTGTAATCCAGGAGGCACAGAGTCCATGGAAAAAGAAAATAATCTCAAATTGCAAGCAGAGGGTACAGGCTTATAAAAGCAAAACCCACAAGGTTAGAGAACTTGTTCTGAAAGAATTACTGTTGGTGCTGACAGAGTTAAACTGGAGACTACAGGATTGGCTATTTTGCTAACAGGTGTTACATTGGATTTCAGTCCAAAGTAGAAGATGTGTTCCAGGAGGTGGTGGAGTTGCAATTGACAAGTGGTAATTGATGAGATCAAAAGTTTATGGCTGTTCTGGAGAATTGAAACAGAAGTGCATAGGCCCTGCTTCCTCAATGTCCTCCCCACCCTATTTTGAACAGACTCTCTTAGCAATGTTTCACTTTGGGATTTTCCTTTATTAAAAGGCTTTATTCCCCTCTCAGGAGAATATAAAAGGTTTCCTAATTTGCCAATGAAAATTTCATATCTCAACTAAAACTTTGTATCTCAGCTTTCAAAATAGTAGACATTCTTGCTTTAGAGGCATATTTGATTTTGAGACAATTGGTTAACCTGAAATGTAGCTTCTGCATTGAAGTGTGGTTTCCTGGGCTGTGAACAGAACAGATTTATCAGATTCACTACTATTTGAAAGGGATGCTCTCTGTTTCAGACCCAACTCTGGAGCTTGTGCATGTGTAAAACTCAGTGAAGGAAGCTGTTTCTCTTGAGCTGGGGTGTTTAGTTTTAGCTATCATGGCTTTTGATTGAAGAAGGTGCCCCTGAAGATAAATCAATCAGCCTGCAGAGATGTAGTGAGTTCCCACATGCAAGGTGGTGTTTAAACACTCTGGAGCAGTCCAGTGTGGTGGTTAAAAGAACAGGCTTTGAAGACCCATCTAGGGTCAACTCCTTCCTGACTTTCCACTTATTCCAGCAGTGGAGAAAAGTAGGATCAGAGAGGTTAAATAATTTACTCAGGATCCCATAGCTAATAATTGATGGATCCATCACTCGAACTCAAGTCAATGTAACATTTAAACCTTTCTCTTCATTACTATTTTATGCCTTAAAATTGTTTAAAATCCATTCTTTTTCATGGTTGGATGAAAGAAGCCCTGGCAATGGTTAGAATAGGGAAAGTACACTAACCTAGTTTGTACAGAAAAATCCTTTATGATTTCTATGTAAATGCCTTTTGGATATCCTTACCCATTGAGTGATTTCTCACACAAGGCTTTAATGCAGAAGAGAGTGAACTTCATCAAGAAATATTTGCCTGAATAGGTGTTCTTACCTAAGCAGAATTGGGGAATTCTTATTTATAGCATCCAGGTGTGGATAGCCGTGTTGCTTGGTGTGTTATGGCACCCACAGTCATGGTGACCAATGTGGGATACATGTCCAGGACT